TTTCTTTAAATTAGTTGTTTTTTTGTCAATCAAATTCCTGACTTAATGGCTTAGCCATTAAAAATGGGCATTAAAAAAATGCTTAGTCCATCATCATACGTAAACCTTGGTATTCTGTCTAGAATAAAAAAAAAATAGTCAAGATCACGTGTGGAAGATAAGGAAATTATATTGAAGATAAGAATATTTCCCTGACCTGGTCAAATTCAAAATAGCTTTGTAGAAAATCATCCTTATCTTTGGGGTTACCCTAAGTAGAAAATAAGTACCCCAGACAGCCCTGTAAGCAATCCCTAGGGAGCACTGACTCAGACCTCTTTTGAAGGGCCGGATAACATACCTTTGCAGCTGCAACTGCTGTTGGCATCCAGGGGGAAACCATGAAAGGGGAGGGTGAAGGGGCTCTTTAATGTTTGTTTTGTTTTACTTTGCTTCTGCTTCTTCTGGTCTTGACACTCAAGAAAGCATGAACTCAGAAAATCTTATATGCTAATGTTTTAAATAAGTGAGCATGATGTCTTTCCACTGATTGTAACCATGTACTGCTACAGTTATTCTATTTTACACTACATTACAGGCCTGTTATCAAATACAGATATGCGGATCCTGCCAAGAAGTGGATCTTTCTTGCCAGAGATGGGGAACTAAACAAAAAGAGTTGATAGATCTATTTCAAAATCCATATGTGCTTCCTGAGTTTGCTGCCATCCACTCAAGGGAAAGGTTTGCCTCTGAATGCGTCAAGAGGATTCACCCAGCAGCTAACAAGGTCTGTCACCACAGGGGTCTGATAATTCACTGTTGGCACAGTTGAGCTTTCACAGTTGAACAAGAAAGTCAGATTACAAAAAACTATTCTTTCTCTTCCATGTTCTACTGAACACTTCAGTGTTCTACCTTTTCTTAACTAAAGGCCACCATAACATACCTGGGCTGTCATTCTCTCCCAGTCTTTTAGCTCATCTATGGGGTGGGCATGAGTACATCACAACCTACTCTGTGGCAAGAGGAACTTCTCCTAGTGTTTTCTTTCTGTTCCTTCTTCTTGCCTCTAACTGGCTGAAATCAAAACCTTCCCTATTTAAAACATCTAGACCGCAAACATTCCCTTAATGCCCACATTGGTTTGGAACATTGTAATGTGCTACAGAATAATTCAATGGTGTTGCTGTAAGTATTCATTAATATCCTTTTTCCATAATTACTAGCTTCAACTAAAGATAAAGAAGAGACAATAAAATAACTAATGTTATAAAGATTGACTCTTTCAATATCTTCTTCTTTTAGCAGCTTCATTGGTGCCCAGTGAAACATATAGTCCATCCCCCTCAGGTACAGGTGAGTATTTGGGGGAGATTTAGGGTCAGGGACAATAGTAGTCTCATATGTTTTGGCAGAGATAGAAAAAACAACTGATAAGAAGCCAATCTCAGATAGATATTTAAAATCACCTTGATGATGATAATGACAATGATGAGGAAAATGACACTGAAGGAAGCAAAATTCTTCCTAGTCACTCAAAGAAGATAGAGATGAAGTCTCGGCTTTTCTTCTATTTTATTTCAAAATGAAACCTATATAATAGCATTTTTGACTGATTAAATCAACAAAAAATGCATTTAAGTTTTTATTGTCCATTGGGAAATGGAAAAATTTTCAACATGGAGTTGCCTACTAGAATGTTGCAAGGGAATTTTTATTGACCTTACCAAACACATTAGAGTAGAGAGAATCAGTATTTTGGTTAGCTGGACCCTGAGAGAATAAGGATAGGTCTCATCTTTATATGACCCCAACATAAAACATTTTCCCAGAATCGCTTAAGTTTCCCACAGATAGTCTTAAGAAAATATCATTTTGTTGTGTGCTGTTGTGTGTTCTTTTTTCTTTAAACTAATAGGAAGTTGCATTCTATTAGACAGATCCTAGTATTTTAGACTTTGTTCTATATAAGTAGACATAGTATTTTAGAAGCGTTTAAGCCATTCAAACTGAGCTCTTCCTAATAGCAAGTGAAATCCCATCATGATGTTAGACCACTTCATGAGGCTGAGATGGCTATTAGATCAGTACAGATATCCCCTTTATACCCTCAGGTGATGTCTTCACCAGCACAGGCAGAATACTTTCAGAACTGTCAAAGGATCCACTAAAAATAACCACATCCATATCACTGGTGAGTTACTTACCTTTTATATTTTTGTAGTTCCCTGTTTTGTTCACTCAACAAATATTTATTGAATGCCTACCATTGGCCAGGCACTGCACCAGTTGCTGAGGATACAGCATACATACATCTACAGTATGCTGGCCTCCTGAAAGTAGTAATCGAGTAGAGATGATGTACAGTAAATAAGTAATCATACAATTAAACTTATTTGTGACAAATGCTATCATACAGTGCAAGGTGTTCTCAGAGTCTAAGAGAGAGAGATCTGATTTTTATTGGGGAACAGGAAAGGACTCTCTAAGGATATATTTAAATTATAATCTGACAAGTATGTAAGAATTAGCCAGGTGAAAAGTGGTGAGAAATATTTCAGTCCTGTGAAAATATAGTCTGAGGCAAGAAAGAGATTGTTGAAACAAAGAGTATTCCTATCATTCAATGAACAAAATTTTGTCAATGCTAGCTGTAATCCCTTGTTTTATATCATAAGAGGTCAAGGTATTCAGTAAAGTTAGGATCCTCCCAACACAGGTCTTGATTGTAAATTCAGAGGCAAAATCAACTCTTTCACTTGAGGGAGAGTTCACTGGACTGGTGAACTCTCCACCTGGGCACTCAACTTATTACATATCAAAGGTCATACAGTCCTCAGATCACTGGAACATCCTGTAAATGACACAGCAATAGAGCTGCAGACTCCAGTCCTACCTTTAAGATATTGGTGCCTAAAGAATTGCATGGTTTAGAGATTGGGCAAGACTGGAGCTCTGCTTCTCTTCTGAAACATTCCTAAAAGTGAATGGTCCTATTTTCCATATTTGGTTGGGAAAAAGTAATTGTAAGCATCGATGTAAGATCCATTTAAAACCCTTTGTTTTTTTCCTTTCTCTAAAACTTTGGAGAAAAGTGTTATTTCCCACCATATTACCAGTCTAGAGCCTTGGAATTTTGACTTGGCTAGAATAGAATTTTGTGCAATTGAATTGACCATCTGTATGATTGGTTCTTTTGTGAACAGATATTCTAATGATCTGAACTACTTTGAACTAGCCCCCTGTACATACAAGGCACCATATGATTAGGCATTGTAGAACTATGAGACCTTCTAGAGTATTTTCAGGATTCTGATAGGGCTGATGTAGGATGAGCATCAGGAAGACCTCAAATTCTTGCATGTGTGTTATAAAAGGAAAAGCCTTCAGCCCTGATAACCAGTGTTAACATGACAGTACACATGGCTACAGTACAAACCATGTAAAACATAGAAATGGTCTGGTAACTAATATTTCAAATCTAGTTTTGGGGTCCTATATTTTTTGAGACTTTTGCTATATGAAAAGCAGGATAATAAAAGTGAGACAGTGAGGTCTCCACCTACAGTCATGTATTTAATTACTTATTTGTATTGAAGTATAATAGACATATATCAAGTGTACATAATGATGATTTGATCTTTTTATACATTACAAAATGATCCTTATGATACATCTAGTTACTGTTAACCATACAAAGTTATTCAAACATTGTTGACTATATTCCCTATTAGCTGCACATTACATCCCCATGACTTATTTGTTTTATAACTGGAAGTTTGTACTTCTCTATCCCCTTCAACTATTTCACCAGCCTCCCAACTAGAACCCCTATGGTAACCAACAGTTTGTTTCCTGTATCTATGAGTCTGCTTATGTTTTACTTTGTTCATTTGTTTTATTTTTAAAATTCCACATATAAGTGAAATAATATGGTATTTTTCTTTCTCTTTTTGACTTACTTTGCTTAGCTTAATACCCCCTAGATCCAACCATATTGTCATAAATAGTAAAATTTCATTCTTTATTACTGAGTATATCTCACTGTGTGTGTATGTGTGTGTGTGTGTGTGTGTGTATGGAAACAATTTACATTGCTTCTGTATCTTGGCTACTGTAATTTTCTTAATTCTTCATTCATGTGAGAGAAAAAGTAACAGTCCAGAATATGATATTTATATTTAATCTGGTCCAGAATCCATAATATCTTAAAGTATAGTCCATCCCCCTCAGGTACAGGTGAGTATTTGGGGGAGATTTAGGGTCAGGGACAATAGTAGTCTCATATGTTTTGGCAGAGATAGAAAAAACAACTGATAAGAAGCCAATCTCAGATAGATATTTAAAATCACCTTGATGATGATAATGACAATGATGAGGAAAATGACACTGAAGGAAGCAAAATTCTTCCTAGTCACTCAAAGAAGATAGAGATGAAGTCTCGGCTTTTCTTCTATTTTATTTCAAAATGAAACCTATATAATAGCATTTTTGACTGATTAAATCAACAAAAAATGCATTTAAGTTTTTATTGTCCATTGGGAAATGGAAAAATTTTCAACATGGAGTTGCCTACTAGAATGTTGCAAGGGAATTTTTATTGACCTTACCAAACACATTAGAGTAGAGAGAATCAGTATTTTGGTTAGCTGGACCCTGAGAGAATAAGGATAGGTCTCATCTTTATATGACCCCAACATAAAACATTTTCCCAGAATCGCTTAAGTTTCCCACAGATAGTCTTAAGAAAATATCATTTTGTTGTGTGCTGTTGTGTGTTCTTTTTTCTTTAAACTAATAGGAAGTTGCATTCTATTAGACAGATCCTAGTATTTTAGACTTTGTTCTATATAAGTAGACATAGTATTTTAGAAGCGTTTAAGCCATTCAAACTGAGCTCTTCCTAATAGCAAGTGAAATCCCATCATGATGTTAGACCACTTCATGAGGCTGAGATGGCTATTAGATCAGTACAGATATCCCCTTTATACCCTCAGGTGATGTCTTCACCAGCACAGGCAGAATACTTTCAGAACTGTCAAAGGATCCACTAAAAATAACCACATCCATATCACTGGTGAGTTACTTACCTTTTATATTTTTGTAGTTCCCTGTTTTGTTCACTCAACAAATATTTATTGAATGCCTACCATTGGCCAGGCACTGCACCAGTTGCTGAGGATACAGCATACATACATCTACAGTATGCTGGCCTCCTGAAAGTAGTAATCGAGTAGAGATGATGTACAGTAAATAAGTAATCATACAATTAAACTTATTTGTGACAAATGCTATCATACAGTGCAAGGTGTTCTCAGAGTCTAAGAGAGAGAGATCTGATTTTTATTGGGGAACAGGAAAGGACTCTCTAAGGATATATTTAAATTATAATCTGACAAGTATGTAAGAATTAGCCAGGTGAAAAGTGGTGAGAAATATTTCAGTCCTGTGAAAATATAGTCTGAGGCAAGAAAGAGATTGTTGAAACAAAGAGTATTCCTATCATTCAATGAACAAAATTTTGTCAATGCTAGCTGTAATCCCTTGTTTTATATCATAAGAGGTCAAGGTATTCAGTAAAGTTAGGATCCTCCCAACACAGGTCTTGATTGTAAATTCAGAGGCAAAATCAACTCTTTCACTTGAGGGAGAGTTCACTGGACTGGTGAACTCTCCACCTGGGCACTCAACTTATTACATATCAAAGGTCATACAGTCCTCAGATCACTGGAACATCCTGTAAATGACACAGCAATAGAGCTGCAGACTCCAGTCCTACCTTTAAGATATTGGTGCCTAAAGAATTGCATGGTTTAGAGATTGGGCAAGACTGGAGCTCTGCTTCTCTTCTGAAACATTCCTAAAAGTGAATGGTCCTATTTTCCATATTTGGTTGGGAAAAAGTAATTGTAAGCATCGATGTAAGATCCATTTAAAACCCTTTGTTTTTTTCCTTTCTCTAAAACTTTGGAGAAAAGTGTTATTTCCCACCATATTACCAGTCTAGAGCCTTGGAATTTTGACTTGGCTAGAATAGAATTTTGTGCAATTGAATTGACCATCTGTATGATTGGTTCTTTTGTGAACAGATATTCTAATGATCTGAACTACTTTGAACTAGCCCCCTGTACATACAAGGCACCATATGATTAGGCATTGTAGAACTATGAGACCTTCTAGAGTATTTTCAGGATTCTGATAGGGCTGATGTAGGATGAGCATCAGGAAGACCTCAAATTCTTGCATGTGTGTTATAAAAGGAAAAGCCTTCAGCCCTGATAACCAGTGTTAACATGACAGTACACATGGCTACAGTACAAACCATGTAAAACATAGAAATGGTCTGGTAACTAATATTTCAAATCTAGTTTTGGGGTCCTATATTTTTTGAGACTTTTGCTATATGAAAAGCAGGATAATAAAAGTGAGACAGTGAGGTCTCCACCTACAGTCATGTATTTAATTACTTATTTGTATTGAAGTATAATAGACATATATCAAGTGTACATAATGATGATTTGATCTTTTTATACATTACAAAATGATCCTTATGATACATCTAGTTACTGTTAACCATACAAAGTTATTCAAACATTGTTGACTATATTCCCTATTAGCTGCACATTACATCCCCATGACTTATTTGTTTTATAACTGGAAGTTTGTACTTCTCTATCCCCTTCAACTATTTCACCAGCCTCCCAACTAGAACCCCTATGGTAACCAACAGTTTGTTTCCTGTATCTATGAGTCTGCTTATGTTTTACTTTGTTCATTTGTTTTATTTTTAAAATTCCACATATAAGTGAAATAATATGGTATTTTTCTTTCTCTTTTTGACTTACTTTGCTTAGCTTAATACCCCCTAGATCCAACCATATTGTCATAAATAGTAAAATTTCATTCTTTATTACTGAGTATATCTCACTGTGTGTGTATGTGTGTGTGTGTGTGTGTGTGTATGGAAACAATTTACATTGCTTCTGTATCTTGGCTACTGTAATTTTCTTAATTCTTCATTCATGTGAGAGAAAAAGTAACAGTCCAGAATATGATATTTATATTTAATCTGGTCCAGAATCCATAATATCTTAAAGTCTTTGATTTATACAGTTGACTCAGTGTTCAATTGCTGGAAATGTAATGGTGAGTTGAGTATGGATATAATCAGCATGAATTAGAAAAATCAGTCCATCAATCTGCCACCAGTGTAATTTCAGTCAACTCTTTCCTTCCAACTTCTTCCCTTCTCAGACCCTACAAGAGCAAAACCTGCAGGTTTGCCCTTTTGTCACTTCTCCCCTTTCTATTGATGAAATGTTAGGGGGCAGAAAGGAGGAAAAAGAGGGAAGGTGAGGGAAAAGGATAAAAAAATCTCTACACTGGATATCATTCCTTGGGTGACACTGAAGTGAGAGTCTTTTGGGTACTACAGCTTCAAAGGTATTAGCCAGGCCTTCTTTGGATTTCTAGGGCTTTCGAATGTTAATAATGTTTTTTGACTCTTTCTTCTCCTAACACACTAATAGTCCATAAAGCATTTAATGAATCCTTAAAAAATAAGAAAATCCAAAGGTATACCATTATTTCACATATAAAGCTTTCTTTATTGATAAAAACATCATTTTTTAAATTTATTCTTTCTTACAAATAACATTTCATTGGGCACCATATGTCAGAAGCTTTTCAGGGCCTTGGAATAATGAATGAAGAAAGAATACATTCTGGTACATTCCAGCAAGAAAAACATTCATGTAAAAAGTACAATTGACCCTTGAAAAATATGAGTTTGAATTGCATGGGTCCATTTATTCCTGGATTTTTTTTCAATAAATACTGTAAAGTTTATTTTCTCTTCCTTATGATTTTCTTAATATTTTCTGTTCTGTAGCTATTTTATTATAAGAATATAGTATATAACACATACAACATACAAAATATATGTTAGTTGAGTGTTTATATTATCAGTAAGGCTTCCAGTCAATGGTAGGCTATTAGTGATTAAGTTTTTGGGAAGTCAAAAGTTATATGCAGATTTTTGACTGTGCAGGGGTCCATGCCCCTAATCTCCACATTGTTCAAAGGTCAACTATAATTGAATAAATGCAAAAATAGAAATGAGAATAAGGCATAGATATGATCCCAGAGTATGACTGTGGTTGACGAACACCCATGATCATCGGAGAAAACATGTTTCAGGTAGGAGAAATAGTTCAATTAATTTTCTTCTCCAATTGCCAAAGTTTAGCATTAAAGTTTGCCTCTCTCTATGCTCTTTCCAGGTATTGTAGTTAACAAGCCCAAAGATAGAATATCCTGGCCAGTGATTATAGCAGCTTTGCTCTTTTTCTGCATAGTATTGCTTGGCCTTGGAGTGAGAAAATGGTGTCAATACCAAAAAGAAATGTGGATATAATATTAGGATATGCAGGAAAAAATAATTTTTTAGTATGAAATACTCATTCAGCACTTTAAATATCATTGGCATTCCTCTCATATTTAACTGAGGAAATAAGGCTCACAGGAGCTCAGACAGACTCTGTAGGTTTCCCAGCACCACAAAGTTGGGATTAGATCCACAGCTTCAGACTTGGTACCCCCCTCAGCCCGTTCAGGATGTCACACTCCTCAGACGGAGCAAGTCAGTGGGCATGAAATGAGAACTAAGGTTCACCTCACCTCAAAACTGAAACTGAGTTTCCTTTTAATCTTCATTATTTTTTCATTTTCATGCATCTCTGACCTGCCAAGGCCCAGCTGGGTCTAGAAGCTCAAGTATAAAATTGAATGAAAAAGGCAATTTTAAGAAATTTCCAATTGCTTTCCAGCAGAATGAGCTTTTACTGCCCTTTTCCTTTTTTCCCAAGGGGTAAAGAAAGTAAGCAATGCATCACCCCTCTTTTTTCTAATATTCTCCAATATTCTTTCCCGACACTCAGCAATCTGAAATGGCATGTAAGGTTTAAGCTTCACTCTGACTTGACTATTTTGGATCAGTCTGGATTAGGCCATGATTAGCAGAGCTCTCCGTAATATACAGAGCTGATCTTCTACATGTCATACTACTATTAAGGTAACTTTGACCATTGTGCAATAACTTCCATTTTTCTTAAGAGTCTCTTTGAAAACTCTATAACCATGTACAGGAAGTATTGCATGGCAAATAAAACACTAACCCAGTAGTCAGAAATTCTAGATCCTTGTCTACAGACTGCACTTGGCTACCAAATGACCTTGAGGAATTCATAGTTTCCCTGAAAAAAACAGAACTGTGCATTTCTTAGAATTTTATTCACATTTTGATATATATTAAGTCTCCATTGAAACATCAGAAAGCTAGATAATAGGCATTAGAGATTTTTCTATTAAAGTGAGAAACTGGGAATCTGAAAATCTCAGTTTATGTTTTTATTCTGCATTGGAATGTCTGTTACATAGAGATGAGAAGCTCACTCTCTCTCTCTATCTATCTATCTATCTGGAGAAATTAAGGTGTTATAGATTGACACACAAGGGGTAGAGGTATTTGAATCAAGAACATAAATCTGCTCACAGATGTATTTTGTTTCTTGGTATCAGAACTGAATGAGAGGGGGTGATCTTTGTATTTGTACAGTAAAACCCCACACTCACCTGTATGCTTGAAGCATTTCTGAAAAAGATGAGTTGTGCTAGCATGGAACAGTATTTTATATAAAGACGGTCTTAAGAAGGTTCAGTGATCCAAAGAGAAGGGATTCGGGCATTACCCGAATCCATCACCACCCAACTCAGGGACTCTGAGGAGCTTTACTTCCCATCTCCACCATCTCCCCACAGAACACAGTGAGTGTCAGGGGAAGGAGCGGGGAAAGGCTGGCAAAGGGACTATTTGAAAAGCTTCAGTCTTCAGTCCAAGAATTGAAAAATTGTGTCTCTGGAGGAATCTTTTAACCTACATAAAATAAATGCTTCTTATATTAGCAAGCCTTTGCCATGGAGAGGGCAGGTTCTGGTTAAGAGACTTGAATTACTGATCTGGCTCTCTCGAGCAAGTTGCTTAGAACCTCTGAGCCTCAGTATAACTGCAGAATGGTAACAATAATACCCAATTCCTAGATACACAGTAAATAATATGATACCAATGCTTTGCAAACTATAAAATGCCATATAAATATCAGTTAATGATATTCTCATGATAGAATTAAACCAGAAGGTTATGCCAGGGAAAATGTCTGAAAGAACTAGTTGTTGGGTGTGTCTCTTTTTTCTTTCTCTGTCTCCTACATTGAAAAGATCACTGCCTCTCATTCTTAGCATTAAAAGAACAACATTCCATTCCTAGCATGGAAAGACCCCCACCTTTCAAGCCTCCTCCACCTCCCATCAAGTACCCTTGCATTCAAGAATCCATTGGAAGTGATCTGCCTTGTCACGGAGATGGACTCCCTCTGGTCCTTTGAGACTTTGGCATATAGCAGAACTCTGCTAGAACTCCATGAGAAAGTGAATATTGTGCTTTGTTAATACAATCGCCCTCCAGCCAAGTCTCTACTGCAGCTGAAATGGATGTCAGACATGAATGACCTGTTTTCTCAGCAACTCACCCCCTTTCATCTGCATATGCCTGCAATTGAAACCAGAGTGAGAGGCGATGTCATGCTCATACTCAATGCAATCTGTAGAGATTTTCTTGCTTATGTAAGAAGTGCAAATTAGCTGCTGTCATTAACAAATACTTGCAGTGTTTTTATTTTTTATTTTAATTGTCTGATTGAGGTGATGACAATGGTTTCAAGCATATGTCCATGCCAGATCCTCTTCTCTTTGAGCATCTGCCAACATTCTAAACTATTTGCCAAAATTTTGATCATCAGTGAGGCTTTTTGCATTCCCTAGAAATAGTACAAGAATATGTGAAAGTTCCAGCAAGAGTTCCAAATAATGGCAGACTGCAACTAGGGTTTGTACTGAAATTCTGTTGTTGATTTTCACTGGAGGAAAACAGAATACCTCACCCACAAACCGTTTCAATCCTCCTTTACCCTTCTCCCCACCGTGTTCGGCCCAGGCTCCTGTCCCATGGGATGAGCATGAATCAGAGGAATAAGCGGCCATCAACGCAGTAACCTAGTAGATAAAACACTTCACTGGCCTCTACAATTATAAGTTTCCCTCTGGATATGTGTGTACATGGTTGTGTATGTGTGTGTGCAGCCATTACCAAACTTATATAAAGTAAATAGGCAGCCTAACCCCAACCCAACTCTTCTACCTCCCATTATTCTGTCTGTCATTTGGGGACTTTGCTCTTCATTCAGTCTTCCTGTTTTGATCTCTCTTGAAACAGAGAAAGAGCCTCAGATCCAACTAGCATTGATGAATTAACCCTTCTCCTAGCAATCTTTTACCAAACAGCTCAAGCTTCTCCTTCTCTGATGGAGAAGAAACCTATTCTGCCAGACCTGCTCTGTATTCAGCAACAGTTTCTAGGCAAATAAAGTACTGATGTCCCTTGTCCCTCTGAACCTCCCACACACTCCTGCCCTATGAGGGAAAAACAGATGTTGCTGATAAGTGAAATAGGCAAAGCCTGCCTGGCCTTTAGCCTCAAAGGGAACCTTTAGTTCATTTGCAGTGTACTTATCCCCAACTGCACATGAAAATAAGTTGGAGAGGTTTTTTTTTTGTTTTTTTTTTTTTTTAACAATAATGGTGGTCCCACCCCAGATCAGTTCAATAGACTGAGGCCTAGGCATCACCACCCCTAGGTGGCTCCGGTGTTCAGCCAACATTGAGAGTTACTAGGCCAGTGCAGGTCCCTTTTCACTCATCAGGATCTTGGCCAAGTGCTCAGCTCGTGGCAGCCAGCCTCTGAGACATCCCCCTTGATTCTGGCCTCATACATAGTCCTCTCTGACTCTGAAAAAAGCTGACTATCTATCTGGCCAGGACTAGGGTAAGGCAAACAAAGTGCCTTGGGAGTAAAATTTAGAGAGATATTCACACTCAGGGTCACGCACTTACACACGCTCCTGAGTGAGTACCAGTCTCAGGCTTGGTATATAACCAGTAAGATTCTGCAAAAATTACCAGAGTGTGACTTCCAAGGCTAGGTCATAAAATACACTGTAGCTTCTGCCTTGATTTTTCTTTGATCACTTGCTCTGGAAGAAGCCAGTTGCCATGCCCGGAGGACACTCAGGCAGCTCTATTGGGAGGGCCACCTGTCAGGGAACTGAGGCCTCGTCTTAACAGCAAGTCTCAACCAGCCATCTGTGTGAGTGTGTCATCTGGGAAGTATATCCTCCAGCCCCAACTCAAATGTTCAGGTAAGTACAACCTTGGCATCTTTTAACTGTGACTTCATAAGAGCCATAACCACCCAACAAAGCCACTTCTGAATTCCTGACCCACAGACTGTGTGTGAGATAATACACTCTTCTTACTTAATGCCAGTAAGTTTGGAAATAACATACTATAAAGTAATTGATAACTAGTACAGTCCAATTAATGGGAAGATAAACTAAATGTTTGCTTGCCTTAATTACCCTCAATTCCTCCTCAGTTCTCAAGAAAGGAATAAGACTAATTTCATATATCTATAGACTGTTGCTTCATGTGTATTTATTTTTATTTAATACGACTTAATCATCAGTAGTTTGTGTGAAGGTCACTGTGGGTTTATTCTACTGTTTCACTAGGAGACATGAATGCATGTAGAGGTATCAGGGTTAGAAGTGGAAAAATTTGAGACTGTTTAGATTGTTTCAGTAAAGGGACAGTTTTATTAGAGTACAACATAAATCCATGTTATTGTTTTAATCTATCCTGTGTCTCACAGTGTTTTTGTATCAGCTCCTCTTTGATGTGCCTTTATTTGGTCTTATAAGTTAGCTCTGGTCAGTATTAGCAAATTCCTCTTGGACTTGAATCCAGGGAGCAGATGCTTCTCTGTGGAGCAACACTCACTTAGGCATTCAAAGCAAGTTTTCACAAACCTGTAAAATGGAGGGACTTCAGATGCTTTCCTGGCAGTGCTGTGATCTTGACTTCCCTCATTTGACTAAAATAACAGTTTCACCTGCACCTTAAAATTGTGCATAAGTATGTTCGTAGAGCCTATCTTAAACCAGCAACTCCTCTCTCTAGAAGTGAGTTTAGCTCTATCTTGCAGGTGACATAGCAACACCACACTCTAATCCTTAATGTTTGTGCATATCTTTATCAGTGCCTTCATTTGCTCTGAGAAGAAAACATACATTAGCATTTTCACTACTCATTTCCAAACAAAATGTTGGATGGCATTGTCTTTCAGAAATACTCACTTCCTTGCCCACCTGCATCATGACTGCCCCTGACTTTGGACTTGGGTCATGTGATCTGCTTTAGCCAATGGGATATCACAGGCAGGACTAAGCAAGCCTTGAAAGGTGCTGGCGTGATTGAAATCACTCTCTTGTTCTCTGCTAGTACCAAGAAGAAGATGAAAAACCCATGGAGCTGAGCAGAACCACCCAAGCCAAGCACAGCCTAGATCATTCATCCTCCAGCCAACCTCAAACAAGCATAAATTAAATATTGTTACATGCCACTGAAATTGTGTGATGGTTATACAATGTTATTGAAGCAATAGGTAACCCATACAAATAAGTCCAGATGTGAGCACATTTTAACTCATATTCAAGTGCATAAGGTGAGAAATAAAACATGTACCTTAGGCAAAAATAATCTTTCCTTTGATTCAGCATAAGTTTTGTTTTAACCGAAGAAGATACAGTTGGCTTGATTAAAATAATTTTGCATTATAGGTCTTTAAAATCATAAAATATCTGACCAGGCTGAGCATTAGAGATCATATTACAAAAAGGAGTTGGAGGCTCTGTGAAATTGACTACCCAACGTGACATAATTAGAAGTGATAAAGCCAAAATGATGACCCAGATCTCTGATTTCCAGTCCAGAGTGTGATCAGTCTCCATTGCATCATGATATTTAGTTGCCTTGGTATCTCTTTTACTGTAGACAAGAGCAATTTTGTGTGCATTTAAGAAAATACTGGTTTTTTTTTTAATGCTGAGGTAATATGTTCTAAAATCACTGACAGAGCAGAAAAGTAGAAATGATTGACTTCTGGGGGTGGAACAGCCAAAGTGTAAAAAAAAAAAAAATGACTAGGAAAAGAGAAAAGAGAGTAATCAAGATCAGAAGCTGGAAAGAAAGCTTGGAGAAAATGGCTAAGGCCAAAGGTAATGAAAATGGCGTTGTCTCAGAGGTTCTGAGCAGGGGAAGAGGTTCTCAAATACAGCCCCCTCTTGACACTCTGATTTAGAAGAGTGGCTTTGGCTTGAACCTGAAGTTTGAATCTGAGAAACACAAAAACTTTGTTCTCTGAGATCTTACATACATAGCCTGAGTTTTTGACAACAGCAGTCTCGGCCATGCCAACCAGCTAAAGCTTGAGTGTCCAGCAGATGTGGCCGAACTGGTAAGTGAAAGTTACCACCATGGAGAAAAAGACATTGACTGGCAGAAATGGGCTGACAGTCCAACAAACAACACATGGTGAGACACTTGGAACAGGTCATTTTATTCCCTGCTGCTTCAAAGGGGCTTTTTCCCTGGATTCTGTGATCACTAAGAGGGCTCCACCCTGCAGTCAGGAAGGCCTGACCAGATAGCAGCGGACTGTGGCCCTAGGAAAGGTCAGGGAACATTTTGAAATTACTCTCAAACCCTGTCAAGTGCTTATGTGATGTGTCTGTACAGTAGTTGGTGCAAATTAACGTAAGAATGAAAACAATAGAATCTAAATGTTTCTACCCACCCAGCATCTTTGTATCCTTCTTACCTATGTTAAGTTCTTTACGTGGTGGGCTCTCTCAAATTCCTCGTGTTTGCTCAAAGGTGCTGTGAGATTGTGATTATAGGGACAGACACTGAGGCAAATAAAGGGGAAGAGTAATAAGCCAAAGATCACAACATAAAGAAGAGAACATGGATGGGGTCACATCCAGCCAACCTTGGTAAATGCCAGAAATGTGTGCACATTTGCCCTGATTTGTGGCAAGCTCCCTATTTGCTGTCCAAAGAAGTCACCACCAAGGAAAACTGACTGCAGTATTGAGGCCATTCAGCTATCACTGGAAAATACTCAGAAGTGCTGGGGAGGCAGGGTGCAGGGGATGGACCAGGTTACATATATTGGGATGAGAAGTTTGATGGTGCGTCTGATTACCTGAGAGCCGTGTACGAGAGCTAACCTCTCCATTCTGCGCTTTCTGTCTTCAAGACATAAATAACCTGTTAATGCTGAATGGCAGGAGGAATGGGGATTTGAAGATCCCATCTATGGTAGAACCATTTTTGCACCGCTAGTCTAGGAACAGCACAATTCCACTTACAGGTGATTGTATTGCTCTGGGCTTCTCTTACACACACAGCCATTGCACTGACTCAAGGA